CTTCTAAGGTAACTGGAGTAGCGGGTACGGCCACGAGCGAGACCGACTCGGCAGCATCAGTCTGCCCATCGCGCACAGAACCACTGGTAGCGGGGATGGCAGGCGGGCAAGCAGCCGAAGGCGCCACTGGCAGCGTTCGAACCACCCGGACAGGCGCAACAGTCCACGGAGCAGGAACATCAACCATGGGCAGATCCTGTGAATCAGAAGTAGACACAAAAGGGAACACAGATTCATCAAATCTCACGTGTCGACAAATACAAACTTTATTAATGGCAAATTTCATGCAACGATAACCACGAAAAGAGTCGGATATCGTAAAAAGACATAGGGAGCATACTGATATTCAAGTTTGTTTTTATTATGGGGACGAAGCAACGGGAAACACAAAACACCCAAAGACTTTAAGAAAGGAATACGATGGTTGAGAGCGATAAAGCGACTTAATTATGCATACGATTAATAAGATAGACCGCAGTCTTGACAACATGGCGATATTTTCATTCAACCCAACCGTTTTGCTCATGTGTATAGGCACAGGATTGACAATGAAAGATGCCAAGATTAGAGAAAGTAGTATGAAACTTTTTATACTCTCCCCCTAAATCAGATTGGATATTCTTTATTTTATACGAAAAAGACCTCTCAACCATAACACGAAAACAAGCAAAAATATCATATATATCTATTTTTGCACGCATGGGAAATAACCAAGTGAACCTAGAGTAATCGTCAACAAATAACACGAAATAGCGATATCCATTAATTGAAGTAAAAGGTGTCGGGCCCCAAATATCGGTATAAAGTAAATCAAGTACATGACTACTAGACGAACTAACACGCGGCAAGGGAACCGAGAGGATTTCCCAAGCTGACAAGACGAACAAAGCGATGAACTAATATTTTTAACAGAAGAACTACAGGACACGACTTCCAGACTTGACCCAAGACACGATGGTGAGGATGCCCAAGACGCTTGTGCCAAACCAGGGGAAACGCACATGACGCAAGGAACGCAGCAGAAGTAGACGAAGACGTAGGCCATGTGTATAGCCCCCCGGAAGTATGACCTTTAAACATGACAGCTTTGGTTATAGGATTCTTCACAAAGAAAACATCATGATGAAACTCAAAAAATACATTATTGTCAGCAACAAATTTACGAACAGACAATAACAACGCAAAGAGATTAGGCACATGAAAGACATTAGATAACTGAAACGAACGAGACCCAGTGGTTAACGAAACATGACCAAGACCAGAAATAGGCAAACCTGAACCGTTGCCGACATGGAGATTATCCGAACCATTATACTCGACCATGAAGGACATTACAGAGGCATCCGGCGTGGCATGATCTGTAGCACCAGTGTTGGGAAACCAATCGTGAGGACCGGTCAAGCCAACGTCACTCGCCTAATAAACCATGTGTGCCTGAGGAGCCGGGTCCTGAGCATATCTCTGAAAACAAGTGTGAGCCGTGTGACCCTGTGCGTTGCAAAGTTGATAACGTAAAACGGAGGAGCAACCGCCTCCACGGTCTTGACCACGGCCACGCCCGCGCTGTCCACGGCCGCGACCGCCAGACCGCCCAGCCCGGCCACCAGACCGGCCTCCATGCTGCACAGCTAACGCTACTGGACCAGAAGCGCCACCGCCAACAGCTCCGTCATCAGCACAAATAAAATCGTGCGCCACTTGGTAGTCTGCAAGCTCAGAAAGAGTGACCGACTCACCCGTCGTTAAGGTCGCTGCTAGGAGCTGGTATTTCGGGCGCAAGCCACGGAACACATACAAATTTTAGTCATCCAAAATGACCTGACGACCAGCCAAAGACAAAATCCTTCACGATAACCTGCACACGACCAAGATAGTCGGCCACAGATTCGTTGCCCTGACGAAGGTTTTGCAGCTGTCCGAGAAGCTGAAGAGTGCGTGCACGAGTATAGTCGACCCAAGAGTGTGCTCAATCGACAGCCAAACCTGTCGGGAAGTGGACCGTCCAACCACAAGATGCATTACCATCTCGGAAAGAGAGGAGATCAGCATGGAGAGGATCGCTTGATCCTACTGAATCCACGCCGTACGAGCAGCGGTCTGACCAGTTACAACGGAGCCAGCCGCGGCGGCATCAGGCAAAGGAGCGACGACGAGTGGGCAAGGATGCGTCCCCTCAACAAAACCAAGCAAACCCTGACCATTTAGAAAGGGAACCAACTGAGTTCGCCAGAATAAATAGTTTCGGGTTGTGAGCTTGATTGATACAAAGTGATGCGTGGCGGAGAGGCTTAGATTCACCGTAGAAGGCCCGAGATGTCAGCGTTACTGGCCTGATCCATCGGGAAGAAGAGAGAATAAATGAAAACCCAGGACTCTTGATACCAGATGAGAGTAATTGTATGTGATTGAGTATGCAAAGGAAATAATACAGATAATATATACGGTAAGTAGAGCTAGAGACCTAGTCTAATATGTACAGAAACAGAGTCATAGTCTACCGTAAATACAAGTCCGCACCTGCCTATTCGGATAAACAAAATAATGCCCTAATTCCAATTAGCATCATATATATATATATATATATATATATATATATATATATATATATATATATATATATATATATATATATAATGTGCCATGAGTTAGAAAATAGTTACTTAATTCAGTTATAGTAATATCATGCATGAGTGCTGGTTACGTAATTGATAAGGGAGGTTAAGATTACCTTTTTCCTCGTTATAGGGTATATACCCAAACTATTTTCTATGACCAGTTTTTCAAATTCGGATATTATATCGAGAAATTTACACTTTTTGTCTCTAAATTATTTGGTAATTGTAGAATTAATTTCTGAGTGTTGGTCAATGGTCATGCATACTTTTCGTCTCTAAGTTAACATTTGTGTTGCACTTTTTATTCTTTCATGCTCACTTTTCTCCCTGAGTTATACTAAAATTGAAAATTTCGTCCCTAATGTTTTATTAGTAAAGGGACAAAAAATGCAACATCAATGATAACTTAGGGACGAAAAGTAAGTATAACCAACCCTTAAGGACGAATTCTACCATTACCATATAATTTAGGGATAAAAAGTACAATTTTTCCTATATCTAATTACGAATTTGCTCCTAAGGTAATGAGGAGGTCAATTGAGTCTGTCTAGAGTTGAGACCTACACTTGAATGTATACTTATATACACAAAGAGTCAATTAATCACCAATTGTTATGCCATGGACCCGGGTCCACCTTGCAAGGTGGACCCAGGTCCAAAACGCACGTCTAGAATAACAGTTCAGTTAGTGGCACCATTTCCTAAGCTAATGATATATATATATATATATATATATATATATATATATATATATATATATATATTGTGAATATAGAGTTCTGCAATTGTGAATATTGAGTTATGTAATTTGGTATATTGAAATCTAAAATTGTGAATATAGAGTTCAAAAATGGTTAATATAGAGTTCTGCAATTGTGAATACTGAGTTCTGTAATTTTTTTGAGTTCTGTAATTTTGTATATTGAGATATAAAATTGTGAATATTCATTTCTAAAATTATGAATATAGAGTTCTAAAATTGTGAATATAGAGTTCTAAAATTGTGAATATAGAGTTCAAAAATTGTGAATATAGAGGAACGAATTCTGAAGACAAACTGCAAGGAAAAAATCAATTTTTTTTTATTAATTCAGACGGTGTCGTTTTGCTTCAATACGACGCCGTTTTGAACTCGAGTCCACAGCATAATTTGCCGTCAAATCACAACCCCAATAATTTAACCTGTTGAGCCAACTCTAACCTAAGGAGCCCAATTCCAAATCGTTTATAGTGAATTTCGTGACAAATTATACCACGGACTAGGATCCACCTTGCATTGTAGACCCTGGTCTGTAGTATAACAATTCGGGTTACAAACCCCCCACCCTAATACTAAAAGTGAGTTTAGTGTGCAACACCCCAACCGTTAAATCATTGCTGTGGGGTGATTATTTCAAACTTTACGCATTGGAGCAATGAATATACTTATGAACAGTCTTTGGCCCCATATTGTATGTAATCATGCAATATGCTAACATTATAATAGCCCTATAATCAATCTTTCGTAGCCGTTATTACTACTAAACTAGTAATTCAGCGGCGCGGTGCACAAAAAATTATGTTATTATAAATATAAATAAAAAATAGAAAAATTAAAATATTTTAAATTATTTAATATAATAATATTTTTGAGCTTCCATTGGTCAAGTATTTATTATTTTTATAGAATACAAAATCACAATTAAAATTAAAATTATAATTTTGTATGGTTAATATAATCTCTAATTATGGGTCAGACGTAAAAAAATCTTCTCTCTAGAATCTTTTCTCTCTTAGTTTCCTTCGCTTTTGGTAAGTTACCGGTGTCTTCCACCGGTCGTGGAGTTTCCTTACATGGATTTTATGGAGGGAGACCCGCCGTCGAACAACCTTCCGGTGACGGAGGGGGAACCGCGAAGGGTACCAAACACAGGGAAAAGGGTTAAAATCCTCAAACGATCCTTTGCTGAAGCCACTGCTACGCCACCGTTCATGCCGGAAGAAGCTTCCATGTCGGACGAAGCGGATGCTGACTGGCTGGACGAGGAGGTGGTGGTGCGATCTGATGAAGGACTTGAAGATGTAAGGGAGGGGATCCCAGTTGTCAAATTCTCTCAAGCTGAAAGGGAAGAGATGATTAAGCCTTGGAAAAGGGCCTTAATCGTTAAATATCTTGGCAAACCCCCCGCCTTCAACATCCTCCAGCAACGTCTTTTCCGTTTATGGAATATCAACGGGAAAACTGTGATGCTGGACATTGGTGGTGGATACTATGTGGTTCGTTTTACCATTGCGTCTGAGTATAAGCATGTCCTTTTAGATTGACCTTGGAAGATCTTCAATTGCTACGTCATCCCGCAAAGATGGCGGCCTGATTTTGATCCCTATACTGCCAAGATGGAAAAGATGGCGGTATGGGTTCGTCTTCCAGGTTTACCAGTTGAGTACTTTCGAGATGGATCGGTAAAAAAAATTTTGGATCTTGTTGGGAAACCGATCAAGTTGGACATAATGACGACCGAGGTGGATAAGGTTAAGTTCGCGAGAGCTGCTGTTGAAATCGATCTCCTCAAACCTCTTGTGTCGATGGTCTGGGTCAGTGATAGAGTTCAGCAAGTGGAATACGAGGGGCTCCATGTTATCTGCTTCGACTGCGGAGAGGTAGGGCATGTTTCCTCTAAGTGTCCGAAGAAAGTGGCGACAGAAGATCAATCTCACACTTCTCAAACGCCACAAGATGTAGCAGAGGCTATGGAAACTACCGTGCAAGCCACGGCGCCAATGGAAAAGCCTCGAGAAAAATATGGACCTTGGATGATTGTCTCCTACAAAACAGACAAACACCAGGGAAAAGGTCAAGTTAATGGCAGAAATCCTAAAGGAAAACCGCCGAAAGGAAAAGAAAAGGCCAATCTCCCGAATACGGTGGCGGCGGGGGAGCGGTCTCCGGCGGCAAAACAAACAAGCAAGTCGCGAGGACAGGTAAGTGTTACTTCTCCCCCTATCCCTGTTAGTAACGGGTTCTCTGCTTTGCAGGACGTGGAAGTGCTGCATGAAACCCCTGTTTTCGTGGAAGGGGAAACTAGCGCAAGAAACAAAAATCCTGGTGGGGTAGGCGGGAAGAAAAAAGGAAGAAAAAAAAAAAAGAACGTGGCACAGGATACAGCTCCAAATGATGGAGAGGGGGACGCCGGCAGTCATGCTAACCAGAGCCAGAGTGCAACTCTGGCTAGGCAGGTGACTTCCGGTCAACGTAATACTGTCACCCCTTTTGTTTTTGGTTTTGGACAGGGTGTTCTGCACAGTTCCCAAATCCCGGGGAGTTCATCGTCGGGGAATGTCATGTTGTCTACGCATAAGGAAGGCGGTGGCCAAACTTCCTTACCACACAATGGTTGTCAATGATCGTGGTGGCCTGGAATTGTCGGGGTGTTGGGAACCAGGAAATGATCCGCCACACTAAAATCCTTTTAACCAACAAGGATGTGGGTGCTATTTGCTTCCTAGAGACCAAAACCAATAAGGCCGACAAACTCCTCAAAATTCTCTGTAAGTTGGGCTTTCAGAACTCTTTTATGGTTAATACCCTCGGTTTTGCAGGAGGGCTCCTCCTAGTTTGGAACAAGGATATGCTGGATCTTGAAGTGGTCAGTAGTAATTCCCAAACCATTCATTGCAAAATTCTGGAGGGCGGGAACTCGCAGTTTTACATCTCTTTCGCCTACGTCAGGCCTAACATGAGGGCTAAAGAAGTGTTTTGGTCGGAGTGTAAAACTTTTAGAGCCTCCAGGTCAGGACCTTGGGTGATGCTTGGAGATTTTAATGACATTGCGATTAGTTCTGACCATTGGGGAAGTGATCACATCAACATGAGTAATATGGCTAGATTCTGTGAGGCTTATGAAGACTGCGGTCTTATGGAAGTACCTTCAACAGGTCCGAGTTTTACCTGGTCTAGGCAAATTGGAGGACGCACAGTTACCAGACGGAAGTTAGACCGAGTCTTCTAGAATTTTGAAGCCCAAGAAGCCTTCCCAGAAGCCAAAGCGAGAGTCTTGCCTAGAACCCATTCTGACCATCATCCTATTTCGTTTGTCAAGGTGGCAGGCGCAGCTCCTAGCCGAAGACATAAACCCTTCCGTTTTGAGGCGGCATGGCTCACTCGGGAAGACTACAAAGATGTCTGGAAGAAAGCTTGGTCAATTCATCCCCACAATGTCGTGGGAGCTATAAACGAGGTTACTAATCTGAGTAAAAAATGGAATGAAGATGTGTTTGGCAACATTTTCAAAAGGAAGAGACTTCTACAAGCCAGGATCCAGGGGATTCAAACTTCACCTTGGTATTACAGGTCTAGAGGGCTACAGGTTCTAGAAAAGAAGCTTATTGATGATCTTAACCTTACCCTCTCTCAGGAGGAGCTACTCTGGTTCCAAAAATCCAGAAAGGCTTGGATTCAGGACGGTGACAAAAATACCAAATTTTACCACCGGTCCACTATTATTCGGAGGAGTAGGGGGAGAATAAGATCCCTTAAAATTAATGGTGAGTGGATCTCCGAGACATCTGTCCTAAAAAACCATGTTACTCATTTTTTTTATAATTTTTTTTGCAGGGTCAACCATCCTGACGTGATCACCCCCGAACCCCACTCTAGTCCTAGAATAAGTCAAGACGAGGCCAACAACCTTTCTAGACTGGCTGGCATTGATGAAGTCAAGAAAGCAGTTTTCGGGATGAAAAGGATGGGTAGCCCGGGTCCAGATGGGATCCAAGCTGCCTTCTACCAAGACTATTGGGATGAGGTAGGTCAGAGTATCACCATGTTCGTTAATGAGGCCTTGGTCACAGGTAAGATACCGGTAAGTTTTCTGGAATCGTTCATTACTCTCATTCCTAAAAAACCCAGTCCGGAGAGTGCTGCTGACTTTCGGCCTATCACGCTACTTAATGTCATTTTCAAAATTGTTTCAAAGGTTCTGGTTAACAGGTTGAGACCTCTGATGATCAAGCTTATTGGCCCGCACCAAAATAGCTTCCTCCCTGGGAGGTCTACCTTGGATAATATCGTTCTTACGCAGGAAATCATACATAGCATCAATCACAAGAAAGGGAAAAAAGGTTCTTTGGTGATGAAAATTGACTTGCATAAAGCTTATGATAGTATAGACTGGGGCTTTCTAGACACGGTGCTCACAGATTTTGGCTTCCCCAAACGGCTGATTAATCTGGTTTTATTTTCCCTCAAAGAGAGCTCTATTAGTATCCTTTGGAATGGGGAAAAGCTTTCGCCGTTCGAGCCAGGAAGAGGTCTGCGACAAGGTGATCCCCTTGCCCCTTACCTTTTTATACTTGCTATGGAAAAACTATCTTATCTCATCCAGGAGCAAGTCCGAGGTAAAGTGTAGAAGCCGGTTTATATTTCGAGAGGGGGTGTTGGAATTTCTCATCTCTTCTTTGCTGATGATCTGATGCTTTTTGGAGAAGCCTCTGAAGGTCAAATTGCCACCATCATGGACTGTCTTAACAGATTCTCTCGTTGGTCAGGTTTAAATATTAATCTTTCTAAATCTCTCATTTATTGTTAACCTAACACCCCCAACAGGGTTAAGCGAAGGATGGGAGACACTTCTAATATACCAGTCACTGAAAACCTTGGTAAGTATTTGGGGATTCCCATTCTCCAAAAAAGGATTAACAAGAGCCACTTCAACTACATCCTTGACAACATGAAGAGAAAGCTTAATAAGTGGAAGGCTGACACATTAAGCTTAGCTGGCGACGAGTTCTTGTCCAGTCAGCCCTAGCGACGGTCCCGGTTTATACCATGCAATCGGTGGCGCTTCCGGTAAGTATTTGCAATGATATTGATAAAATTTGCAGGGACTTCCTTTGGGGCTCCAATGACGCCAAAAGAAAAATTCATCTGATCAATTGGAGGGAAGTCTGCCGACCTAGGGATCAAGGGGGAATGGGCCTTAGGATGGCTAAAGATTTTAACACGGCCCTCTTGGCAAAGCTTGCATGGCAAATTCTGAATAACACTGAAAAACTTTGGGTGAGTGCCATGAAGCATAAATACCTACAAGACAATAATTTCTTCACCTCCATTACCTCCTCGAATGCCTCATGGGGCTGGAAAAGTATCATTAAAGGGCGTTCAACCATTGAAACTGGAGCACAGTGGTGAGTGGGTAATGGTAGGTCGCTTGATTTCTGGTCGGATTGGTGGATCGGTGACAAACCCCTTGGTCTTGAGTCGAATATTGACATTCTCGAAGCTTACTGTAACTTGAAAGTTAGTGACCTCATCACGGTAGATCGCAACTGGAATGTGGATCTCTTATCAGAACTACTGCCGCCTGACTTGGTCTGCAAGATACGAGCCACTCCTATCCCAATTGAGGAAAATACACAAGATAGGCTAAGCTGGCCGGATAGCACAACAGGTACGTTTTCAGTCCTCTCGGCTTATAATATCATTGCAGGGAATTCTAATAGCGAAGACTGGAACTGGGTATGGAAGATCAATTGTGTTGAGAAGGTGAAGTCTTTCCTCTGGCTGCTGTTGAAAGGGAAGCTTCTCACTGGTGAGGAGAGACGCAATAGAAGGTTAACCACCGATGCCTCCTGCAAGCGGTGCCCTGATGACGACGAGTCGATTGATCACATCTTTAGGAGGTGCCCGTTCGCGACGGATTGCTGGGACTTGGCGAAGGATCATGGAGGCATAATCTCGGCTAATTTCAAGCCGGTGAACTCCTGGATTAAAGATAATTGTACCAGCAAGAAGATGATGCAAGATGATATTCCTTGGAACGTTACTTTTGTCTACATCCTCTGGCTTATATGGAAGGCGAGAAATGGGCTGATCTTCAACAATAATTATGAGTCCCACGTTCGGTTAATTAACACGGCCTTAAGTATGGCGAAGGAAGCCACGTCGTTCATCATCAAACATAAAGGTGTGGTTCATGGCTACTGGAAGTGGATCTATTGGGAACCCCCTCAACACGGATGGATGAAGCTCAATACGGATGGAGCACTAAGTCCAGTACAGGTATGGCAAGCGCAGGCGGTCTAATTCGGGACGAGTACGGCCGTTGGGTTAAGGGTTTTTCAACTAAGGTTGGTTCTACTGATAGTTTCTCAGCAGAGCTGTGGGGCCTAAGGGAGGGTTTACGGCTCTGCTTGAGAGAAAGAATCGACAAGATATGGGTAGAGATGGACTCATCTGCAGTGGTTGCCATCATGAATAGGGCGACTCAAATAGAGGAAACAGTTGTGACCTTAGTAAAGGACTGTCTTGATCTCATCAGCAACTTTCGTATGATTAAAGTCACTCATATTATGCGAGAAGGAAATCAGTGTGCCGATTGGCTAGCAACTTTTGGACAAACGATTAACTGGGGAACTCTCTTTCTGGACTTGCCCCCAATGGAGCTCAATTCTCTACTGGTTGCCGATTCTTGTAATAGGCTGGTCCCAAGGATCCGCTAGCACTCTCATCTGAAGGTGCCAATTTTACCAAAAAAAAAAAAAAAATCTCTAATTATGTGCATATTCAAATAAACTTATAGAGAGAATTTACATAATTACATTGATTTATTCTTAATTGTATTTCATCTATATTATAATTTTCACAATACGAATAATAACTAAGATAATTACATTTGGAAAGCAAATTTTAAATTTTGTATGTGTAAATTTAAACTCTAATTGAACACATTTTTTATATGATTATATAATATATAACTATTTTATTTTTCAAAAGTATATTTTTTATATGATTATATAATATATAGCTATTTTATTTTTTAAATGTTGTGTGTGTTTTTTTTTTTTTTTAATAATAAAAGATGTTGTGATATTAATTGTAGCATTAATTATTTCCCAAATCATATAAAGAATTGCATCTGTGCTCTAGCTACTCCTTAGTTACTTGTATACATATTATTTACATGATTTATGCCTAATTCACTTTAAAGCTAACATTCTTCTATTGAAATGTCTGATTCTTCTGATCCTCTCTTAGGATGGAGTAAACGTATGGACAAAAGTGCTTTCAAATTGACGTATATTAATTGGCAAATTATAGGACATGATTTTACCTTGCATTATGGACCCTGGTCTAAAATGACATTCAGATTATGTGTATGCAATTAATATATTATGTAGATTATGTGCCTGAGAAATGGAAGATAAATAATATATTAAGTATAGACACATAATATGTTAATTGTAGACACATAATATCCCGCTAACATATTATGTGCATGCATTTAACCTATTATGTGCATGTATTTAACATATTATGTGTCTGTAGTTAACAAATTATGTGTTTTCAATTTATTTACAAACACAATTTATTAACTAAAGACACATAATATGTTAATTACAAACACATAATTTTTAGACCAGGGCCCACAATGCAAGGCGGACTCTAATTTGATACATAGTATAACAATTGATATTAATTAGAGATGATTTTCAAAAAAAAAAAAATATTAATTAGAGATGTCAATTTACCAATAGTTATTGCGTGGACTGTGGCCCACACAGCTGTGTCGACCACGGTCCAAAGACGACGTCGTTTTGAGTAATTTTTTTTATGCGACCCATTGCAACATACATTTTTATAACTCATAATATACATTATTCTAACACATAAAATACATATTTTAACTCATAATGTACATTATTCATCATCAAACTCATAAAATTCAACGACATCATTTTGGCGCAAATTATGTTGTGGACTCGTGTCCACAATGCATTATGGACACGAGTCCAAAACGACGCCGTTTTTAGGGAAAACGCGGCATTCCAGTTAAAAAATAAAAATTGTCTCGGCGTTAACGGCGTTATTCGTTTGTGGAATTACGAATGTACAGTTATGGAATTATGGAATTATGAACACAGAGCTCTGACATTATGAACTTACAATTATGAACATATAGTGATAAAATTATGAACATAGAGCTCCAAAATTGTGAACATAGAGCTTCAAAAATTATGAATTTATAGTTATTGAATTATGAATGTACAGTTACGGTATTATGAATGTACAGTTATGGAAGTATGAATGTACAGTTATGGAATTATGAACACAGAGCTATGAACTTACAATTATGAACATATAGTGATAAAATTATGAACATAGAGCTCTAAAATTGTGAACATAGAGCTTCGAAAATTATGAATTTACAGTTATTGAATTATGAATGTACAGTTACGAAATTATGAATGTACAGTTATGGAAGTATGAATGTACAGTTATGGAATTATGAACACAAAGCTCTGACATTATGAACTTACAATTATGAACATATAGTGATAAAATTATGAACATATGCTCCTATAACGAAGCGGTCTGAAATTAAAAAATAAAAAATAAAAATAGAAGATAACGGTGCCCGGCACCATTATCGTGTCCACAATACATGCTAGACACGAGTCCATAGCATAATGATTGTCATTTTGGACCATAGTCCACACAATAATTTGCTTCAATTAATCTTAACTTGAAACTGATATATATAATGGCCCAATAAGACAGAAAAATATAAGTTTTAGGCCCAAAACAATTTAGGCCGATAAAAAACAATTTGGCAAATTATATCGTGCACCGCGGTGCATAATCGATTATGCACCGAGTTTGAAAACGATGTCGTTTTGTTTAATGAAAAGAAACGGCACCCGTTTCGCGTCGTTCTACGCCTTTCCGCAAAAAGTAACTCTATTATTCAGTTTCATTTTGTATACACTGCAGTTTCAGTTCAACACAACTCGATATTTATACACTCAAATATGTATTATTTAATTTTATGTTATATACACTATAATTTCATTAAAACACAACTACATGATCATTTCGATATAATTACAGTTTCATTGCACAATATACACTCAAATATGTGAAATGTTATTCAATTTCATTTTATATACACTGCAGTTTCATTTCACCACAACTACAGTATCATTTTGATATAACTTCATTTTCATTTGATAATATATAAAATAATACGTGAGGCAGTGTCGGTTTAGATACACTTTAGTTTCAGTTGGTAATTAACAAACCAATAAATTCACGCTCTGCTAACAGTAACGGTGCACCATTTCTTTACTTAAAGAAATGGTGTCGTTTTGACCGCAGTGCACGTACACCACGGTCCACGATATAATGACTGAAACAATTTGATTTGTCCAAAATTGACAAACTCGATCGCTTGAATAAGGTCACTTGAAACTTAGGGGCTGGCCTAATAAGCTAGCTAGTTCGATAGCTTAAGGTGTTCAAAGTTACTATTTGTTTCACAAATGATATAGAACAAAATATATGTGACACTTAGTATGTAAGTTCCTTTTTTATTTTTTTCTTTAATATCTATTAAAATTTTAAATAAAATTTAATAAATGTATTACAAAACAATTTTGTATGAAAATAAATAATGGAAAAAAATTATTATAATTATTATATTATTAGTGCATGTAAATATATTAATTATTATTTTTAAAATTTAAATAGATGAAAATGTTTATTAATATATTTTATAATGTTGAGCGAGTTGGAGAGCCAAGTCCAGCATCCTACCATTGAAATATGGTATGATGGCTATGCAAGTATAAAGAAATAAAGTTATGTCTCCACTACTAGTTATAGCTTTTGGCATAGTGGTAAGCGTTTGATCTGACAATTGGTATAAGAGTATGTTGTGGATCTCATTGAAAGCATGCTTTGCAGTTGAGGCTAACAGGTGAAATTGGAGATTAAATTGATGAAATTGAAAGTTTAGAAGATTATTTCTAAAATATCAAAAAATTTAGTTAAAGTTTTGGCGTTAAGGTAAAAAGATTTTAACTCGATAAACCCGATAAGACTAGTCCGAAAGTGACTGGGCTAACCCGATTAACATCACTATATTAATATGTCATGTCAATTGGTACAACATCATTATATCATGGACAATTGTCTAAAATGACATTGTTTTAATTCACAGAAAGGGTGCCTTTAGTGGCGTTTTTCTTTTCCCCTTCACTTAGAAACAACGTGATAGTATATGTACATAATATGTTTTTTTTTTAAAGGAAAAACCACATATTATTAACATAGTAAATGTTGAATATAAATGGGAGGGATAGCATACCATGTATGATTATTAGGCTGAGAGCCAGAGTCCCTAGCGAGAGCATGGGCTAACTAGTTCGTTAAACGAGAAATAAAATGACAAATGTTAAGTACATGTTTATAAAACTAATATTTAAGTCCATAATAAGAACTTACTAACTTTCAACATGCAAATATTTCTTAAAACTATATCATAATAATGATTACATGTTAAACATGTTAAATCTAATATAATCTAACCATACAGAGTAGGATCTACGAGGCAGTCCTCAGACATGGTGGCCGAGGCCACCTGCCGATGTGAGGCCTCGCCCATGACAGACGAGGGCTCCTCGGCCACAAGGTGGACCGCCGGACTGACGCATTACGGAGAAGCACGCCGTGTTCCTTGCCTGATGGAGGAGGAAAGACGGGAGATGAACGCACGAAAAAGAGTGGAGATCGCCGTCTGAGCCTGGCCGGCGGCGGCGGCGGATTGCGGAGCCGAGATCGGAATCGTCGCAGGTGAAGCCATCGCTCTCTTTGTTTTCTTAAATCTCTCTCCTTGTTCACGACGAGTGGAGAGAACAGAGAGACGGCCGACAAGACGTTATATCCTTCCAAAATTTGAACACACCTCTAAATAACAATAAATATGATCATTTATCGATCATGTTGTTCTTTGCCTAAGATTGACGGCTACTAGTACCGTCCAATGCCCCAAACTCTGATGACACCGTCTGTATACCCACACTGAAAAGAGTGCTCCCATCGGACCAAATTGTTGAATGTATACCAGACAACGGATATGGGATCCTCTACCAAATACTGGGGTTGTCACTTGTGCAAATACCTTCACTCATGCAAGAGGAACATCTTGTACCTATAACTATTTGTGCACTTAGTGCTGGAGAATTGATGGTTTTGAAAGGAATTGACAATGGGGAAGTTCTGAGTAGTGGCACGTCACAGATCAATAAAGATAATTCCATTGCTCCAAATTCAATTCACTTTTTGCAGTCAAGAAGAAATAAACAAGACAGCCGAAACAAATTACTACAAGATCTTGATCATGGTAGCCGAGGCAGTCCTTAGCCATGGTCCGCTACGCTCTCCGCTCAGGAGTAGGGGACTGGTGATAGGATAATTGGA